ACCAAGACCAGCTAATTTTTATATTTTTAGTGGAGACAGGGTTTCGCCATGTTGGTCAGGCTGGTCTCAAACCCCTGACCTCAGGTGATCTGCCCGCCTTGGCCTTCTAAAATGCTGGGATTACACGTGTGAGCCACCACACCCAGCAATATTTGCCTTATTTTAATGACTAGTTATTCTATAGTCTATGGAACTATAAATCCTATATTTACCTTCATTACTATATTGACAAGAAGTAAAAATGTGCTCACTAATAATATTCCTAGATTTATTAATATTAGTAATCCATTTTGGGGACAATAGAATTTATGTGACATTGAATTGTGCTGTGCAATTACTGAGATTTTTATGAAGTATGGTCTTTAGTTAACTCTAGTATCTTTAATATTTTAAATAGGTGATAATATATTCAAGTTTGAAGCATCTACTCTAAACACTTGTTCCGTAACAAAGCAACCAAGTTTAGCATCTGAATTTTTTGGAGGTTGGCAGTAAAGAGCTATGACACGATATGAATGAGAAGAAACACTATGATATTTATGTTCATCTCTTAAACTGCTTTTGAATCACGAAATAAAAAGCATCTGTTAACTACCTTCTGCAACAATTAGGATGTTTGCCCATCTCATACTAAGAGACTATCAATGAATTTCATTGTGTTGACCACAATCACTGTCAGAGATGGGTGATCAACTGGTCACCCATCATCTTCTGGCCATATTTTATATCCCTTAAACTGCTGGTTCTCAACCTTGAATGCACATCAGATCATCAAAAGTGTCCAGGCAACACCAAGACCATTTACAGCAAAATCTCTGGGAGTGGAATCCCAACATCCCATTTGTCTTTGGAAAGCTCCCTAGTTGATTCTCAGTGCTGCTAAAATTTAGAGCCACGTTCTGAACCTGAACAAACCCTCCCTCCCAGTCCCTTTCACAGTACCTGCTGAAATCTTGCTTTGGATCACGAACTGTCTCTGTATCTTTTATGTGTTCTTGGAACATCAACTCCTTCCTTAACAGAAATCTCCTAAGGGCTCCCCCTCCCCAACACTTTACACTCCACATACCCAGGTCAGGTGACTGGATTTTTTGCTTGCCTCCCCACCTAAGGCCCCTTCCAAACCACTTCTTGCAAAATCTCCTACTCCTTTGAAACTCATTCATTAAGTTGTACCCACTTCCTACCTTCCTTATTGCTGCCATCTGCTATCAGCCTCACTCACTAAAGATGGTTCACCTCACAGACTTCTCTTTCCATCCCTATGCCCACTTTCTTTCCCTGAAACCCATGCATGCTCCTGGCCTCAAATCCTTGACCTGCTGAGTTCCAATCTTCCTCTATCCCACTTCACCATCTTCTAATGGTCACCCTAGTCTTTGTCTTCCCTGGAAATTTACTTCTCAAACCTGTTTTTAAATCTTGCTCTGCTCATCACCTCCTATCCTCTTAAAGTTTGCCTACTCAGTCACTCCCACTGCCACCTTTCTTTGACCTTGTCAAGACCTCTAATCCTCACCCCTTTCTCTCTGGCTTACCAGCCTCTTCTTGGCTTTTCCTCTCTACTTCTCCAGCCTTGATTCTATACTGCATCAGTATAATCAATCCCTCAAAAGTACTGTCAGCTTCTCTGCATCCCTACTCGCTACTGGACTCAACTACCAAGACCCAATCCTGCTCCAGCTTCAACTCTCCACCTTTGGTTGCCTGCACACACAGCAGGTCTCTGAGGTCCTAACAAACCTCATGTGGGCACTCAACTATGCCCAGAAACCATGCTCTGCTTTGCCACTGTGAAGATAACAATTTCATACCTTCTCCTCAAAACTGCCTGCTTGGAAAACACAAACTGTCAGATGGAAACACCATCTTCCCATCCCCAAATCGACAAGTTCTCTCCAACCTTGCGCTCACTTTCATCTCACTGGTTATGGTGGAGGAAAGACATAACCAACACCAATCTTTCCCATTGTGCTCTGAATCCATTCTTTTTCTTTTTTTTAAATTACCAGCTTTATTGAGGTATAATTGACAATTGCTTATATTTAAGGTGTACAATGTAATTATTTGATATATGAATGCACTGTGTAGTAATCACATTAATTAACGTATCACCAGTTACCATTTGTATCTGTGTGGGGGTGGGGGGTGGGGGGTGGGGTGAGCATACTTAAGACCTACTCTTTTTTTTTTTTGAGACGGAGTCTCGCTGTGCTCCCAGGCTGGAGTGCAGTGGCGTGATCTCGGCTCACTGCAAGCTCCGCCTCCCGGGTTCACGCCATCCTCCCGCCTCAGCCTCCCAAGTAGCTGAGACTACAGGCGCCCGCCAACACGCCCGGCTAGTTTTTTTTGTATTTTTAGTAGAGACGGGGTTTCACCATGTTAGCCAGGATAGTCTCGATCTCCTGACCTCGTGATCCACCCGCCTCGGCCTCCCAAAGTGCTGGGATTACAGGCTTGAGCCACCACGCCCGGCCTTAAGACCTACTCTTAGCAAATTTCAAGTAAACAATACAGTATTATTAACTATAGTAACTATGCTGCACAGTAGCTTCCCAGAACTTATTCATTTTATAACTACAAATTTGGGCCGGCTACAGTGGTTCATCTCTGAAATCCCAGCACTTTGGGAGGCCGAGGTGGCCGGATTGTTTGACAGGTATGAGAAATGTGATTTCTGTTCCCACCAAACTGGCTTCCTTCCCCATCCCTCCATAGGAATTTTGTGTTGCAATCACCAACTTCCATTTTGTTTTCTCAATCTTACCTTTCTTAGCCCCAAGGGAATTTGATAAATGACATTCCTTCCTTTTTGAAATGCTCTCCTCTGTTCTTCCAGGATGAAATCCTCTTCTGGTATTTCTCTTTCCCCTCTGGCCATCCTTCAGTCTCCTTTGTTGGTTCCTATTCTACTTGACCTCCAAATATTGAGTCCTTCAGTCTAACTTGAGCTCTCTTCACTCTGGACTCCTCCTGGGTGATGTCATGTTTGTTTATAAGTGCCATTCTATATGACAATGTCTTTCAAATTTCTATCCCAGTCCAGACCTGTCCTTGGAGCTCTCAACTAGGTGCCCAACAGACTGCACAGCACCTTCAGTGGGATGTGCACCACAGAAGCACCCAACTCAGAAGGGCCAGAGACTGACTCCCTCACCACCACCCCTTTCTCCCTCCCATCCTCACCTCACTCATGACATCACATCATACCCCAACCACCCAGGGCTTCCGCCAGAAACCTGAGATTCACTCCTGGGTCCTCCTCTCACAAAGACTGTTCCATCTCTATCACCTCCCCACTGTCCTCCTAGTCACAGCCATCATTATCTCTGATCTAGATAATTGCAAAAGCCTAACTAGGGCTGGGCGCAGTGGCTCATGCCTGTAATCTCAGCACTTTGGGAGGATGAGGTGGGTAGACCACCTGAGGTCAGGAGTTCGAGACCAGCTTGGTCAACATGGTGAAACCTCATCTCTACTAAAAATACAAAAATTAACTGGGCATGGTGGTGGGTGCCTGTAATCCTAGCTACTTGGGAGGCTGAGGCAGGAGAATGGCTTGACCCTGGGAGGCGGAGGTTGCATGAGCTGAGATTGCGCCATTGCATTCCAACCTGGGTGACAAGAGCGAAACTCCATCTCAAAAAACAACCTAAAAGCCTAACTGGTTTTCCAGTTTTTAGTTTCCATTTTCTATACAGGTGGCAAAATAACTCCTGTTATCAAAGCTTGTTACCCTGACTTACCCTACGGTGGTTTCTCATCCCTTCTAGAACAAATAACACCTGGGCTGACCTGGCCCTGCCACTATCGAGATTTATTTCATGCTCCTCTGATTATTCTACAAGGTACCAAGCTCTTTCTTGACTGTCCTTGACTCCTTTGTGTCTGTCATTCTCTCTGCTGGAAAGCTGATTCCCTGGCTCTCAGCAGGTTGAAGTCCTTTTCATCCATCAGCTCTCAGCTTACAGTCACCTCACAGAACCCAGGTCCAACCACCTGATGCAAAGCAGGTTCTCCTATTATTCTCAATTACTGCACCCAGTTTTTGGTTTTGCCTTGTAGAATATACCAGCCTATTATTCACTAGTTTGTCTCAGCTTCTAGAATGTTCGCTGTATGAGGATGAGGGTGTCTTAGTCACATCTTTATTCCAAGCCTAGCATGATGCCTGGCACATAATAGGCATTCCATTAATATTTTGAGAGATCATCTGAGTTTGGCATCCTAATTTCACATGAGGAAAGAAACTCAACTAAGGGCCCATCATTTTCCTACTTATTCAGATTGTTGCACTGAGGGCAATGTAGTAGTTAAAAAGCACATATTCTGGAACCAGACTTCTTTGGTTCAAATCCCAGCTCCTCCACTGACTAGTTGTGATGCAGGGGAAATTACCACTCTGTCTGTTTCTTTACTGGTAAACGGGGATTACAGTATCTATATCTAATAGGATTGCTGCAAAGATTACATGAATTAATAGAAAGATGATGCCTGGCTTATGATAATTCTGCTCTTCATTATTACGTAAATTCAAAAATAGTTTCTTCAACCCCCCCAACCCCTTACTGTGCTTAGAACACAAGAAACAATATTCTTTGAATGATATAACTAATAATTTCCCACAACTTCTACTACTCAGGACAGAACCTATGTCTGGCCTATACAACTAGACTTTCTCAGATACTTCGAGGAGAATCAAGATCCTTGTGGCAAAACAAACAAACAAACAAAACAAAACAATTCCTTCATGGGTGGACATCCATTTTGGTCATGCTGATCTTTTGAGGAGCGTAGAGGATTTACCTGCTAGAACAGAGAACACTATTTTCTCTGTCAAAAGTTAACAAATAACAACATACTACTTTATTACCTGCATTACCCCTAACAAGAGATTTTTGTAGCAATACATTAAGGTAGCAATAATAGTTTTTTAAATCTTAAAACAATCAGTGGCCTACAAGGTTACTAAAAAGTGATTGAGAATATAGGAAAATACATTAAATGATCATTTTGCATTTATTTTGAAAGCTATTCAGACACCAGTTTTAAAAAGTGTTAGAATTAATGTTTTATTGTCACGCAGATGGCAACTGGGTTTATGTCTTCATATTTTATATTTTTGTAAATTAAAAAAATTACAAGTTTTAAATAGCCAATGGCTGGTTATGTTTTCAGAAAACATGATTAGACTAATTCATTAATGGTGGCTTCAAGCTTTTCCTTATTGGCTCCAGAAAATTCACCCACCTGTTAAAAGAATATTGAACTGACATTAGATGTAGCATTGTAGCACTGTTTTATACATAAAATATCAGCATAGAATGAAGGAAGAATAGGGGTGGAGGGAAGAAGAGGTATAATCTTACTTAAAATAAATTTCCCTGAATAACATACAGTTCATTTAAGTTATAAACAAAGAAAAAATATCAAAGAAAAGTCAAAAGGCTTAAGTACAAATTTTCTTTTACACAATACCTAACAACAACAAATGAACTGCCCAAGTCTAAGAAATGTGCTTTAAGATATAAATAGGAAACACCAATTAGAGGGATTTAGTGACTAGTTCTAGGAAAGATCAATTTTCAATTAGATGTCACGTTATGTACTTAAGCCAATGAAGAATGACATATTTAAAAATTCTTGTGCAGCACACCAACATGGCACAAGTATACATATGTAACAAACCTGCACGTTATGCACATGTACCCTAGAACTTAAAGTATAATAATAAAAAAATAAATAAATAAAAATTCTTAAAAGCAGAACTTGGCGATATGCCTCAATCTTTGAAGGGAACATCACTCCAGTGGTTTATTCACTTATACTGGGTTTCCTATTGCCCAGTTAGAGTTTTAAAGGTCAGATATACGTACCTTTTGTCCCTTCTTAAAAAACTGGAATGTTGGCATGCATTTGACTTCACACTCTGAAGCAACATCCTGGTAGGGAAAGTAGCAGGGAAGAGGATTAAATACAAGACTGTCAGTACTGAGCTTTGACAGAAGTAATCCAAAACCAGAATCTTTTCCCTGTCATGTACCCCACATTTCAGCATGAGGACATTTTTCAGCATATGAAAATTAATATAATGAATATAATTGCAGTACAAAAGCCAAACCGGTTATATTCTCAATGAAAAAGTTTTATTAATATTTACTTCCTTTGATGGGCACATCAACAGGCAGAATGTTCAGAATGTTACTAGCCTCAGATACTCCAGCAATCCAATATGTTGTTTAATCCAATCAAATTCTCAACTATTTTCAGTATCATACAAAGAAGCAACAAAAAATTCTGCTACAATTGGACTCAGTATTATAATCTTAACTATTCCTTAGAACTAGTACCTCTTGTTTCTTGCTCATAATTTTTCCAGTTTTATTACGAAGGCAGAGTACACAGAATGATTATATAAGGTCTAAAGTCTAAAAAAAATAAAAAGCAATTCTTCAAGAACAAAATCATAGTAATCTAAAGGAAAATCCCACACTGGGTTTACTGATTATTATTATTTTTGAGACAGGGTCTGGCTCTGTCACCCAGGCTGGATGGAATGCAGGGGCACAATCTCAACTCAATACAACCTTCACTTCCCAGACTCAAGCCATCCTCCCTCCTCAGCTTCCCCAGTAGTCGGGACTACAGGCACGTGCCACCAACCTGGCTAATTTGTGTGTGTGTGTGTGTGTGTGTGTATATATATATATATATTTTTTTTTGTAGAGACAAGGTCTCTCCATGTTGCCCAGGCTGGTCTCAAACTCATGAACTCAAGTGATCTGCCTTCCTCAGGCTCCCAAAGTGCTGGGATTACAGGTGTGAGCCACCACGCCCAGCCTCCTGCCTATTTTTAATTAAAAATTGATATGTGAGGCCAAGGCCAGTGGACTACCTGAGGTCAGGAGTTCGAGACTAGCCTGGCTAACATGGAAAACCCCATCTCTACTAAAAATACAAAAATTCGCCAAGCATGGTGGTGCACGTCTGTCATCCCAGCTACTTAGGAGGCTGAGACAGGACAATTGCTTAAACCTGGGAGGTGGAGGATGCAGTGAGCTGAGATCATGCCACTGTACTCCAGCCTGGGCGACAGAATGAGACTCTGTCTCGGGAGGAAAAATAAAAAGACTTTGTGGATTCTCAAACCTTACTGCAGTATCAGAATCACCTGAGGGGTACTACAAGTTTCCCCATCAACCCCCATCTTAAACCATTACAGTTAAAGTCGAGCTTCAGGTGACTCTGACGCGCTAACCTTTGAAAGTCATCCTACTTAGAAAATCCACAAATTCCTAACATTGCAAATTGGGCTAGTTGATTCATATTTTCTCCTCTCCTAGAAGTGGCTCTTGCTACAGCTAAAGATTTTTCTGCAGCTCAAAGGTAATTGAAGTAACAGACATTCCTCAACTGTGGAATGCTAAATGAGAATTCTTGTAATACCCCACGCTCAACACATTGTTCATGCTGTAAGAGGGCAAGGTTTGGAGGACAATACCATGAAACTGGTTTGGTTTGGAACCCAATGGGGATTGAAAATGTCAGCCAGACACTCAAAAGAGGACTGGGAAAGAAATACAGAACTACTCAGCAACTAAGCAGCAAAAGCTATACAGGACAGCAAGCGAGCAGGCAGGACTATTGAGAACCAAATCATGGAAACCAACAGAGAACTCTCAAGGGGAAGAAAGGCCAGCTACAAACACTATGACGACCTCTAGGATGGTGGTTGGCACTACTGTTGAGGAGTTCTTTCTAGGTAATCTTTACTTTTTCTTTTAACCCTGGACACCTGCTGAGAATGAAAGTACAGGTTCCAGTAAGAGGCACAAGGACAGTAAAGGCTGGAATAAAAATGGCGAGTGTTTATTGAATGCATACTATTGAAAACTCACTCAAAGTAAGGGTCAGATACCATTTATAAAGTAAGTATCATAACCCTGTTGGCTGTCAGAGAAATAAGGTTGGTCTCTCATTTTCAAAAGGGCTACTGCTGATACTTTTCTATGACTCTATGGAGGCAAAGTTAAAGTTCCCCAGTTTGTCAGAGGGTCACTTCAAGGTTTTAAAAGACACTTTCAGGCCAGGCACGGTGGCTCATGCCTGTAATCCCAGCTCTTTGGGAGGCCAAAATGGGTGGATCACTTGAGGTAAGGAGTTCGAGAACAGCCTGGCCAGCAAAGTGAAACCCCGTCTCTACTAAAAACATGAAATTTAGCCCGGTGTGGTGGCAGACGCTTGTAGTCCTAGCTACTCGGGAGGCTGAGGCAGAAGAATTGCTTGAACCCTGGAGGTGGAGGTTGCAGTGAGCAGAGATGGCACCACTGCACTCCAGCCTGGGCGACAGAGTGAGACTCTGTCTCAAAAAAAAAAAAAAGATACTTTCAAGGTGATAAGAGTGCCCCAAGCAGACATGAAGGAGGAGCTGTGTCATACGGAAGTCCTTGAGAGCTTTGCACACCTATAGTGATGCACCATTTAACATTTGGTCGATGACCAAATGTAATGCACCAATTAACATTAGGTCGATGACAGACTGCATATATGTGGTGGTCTCATAAGATTATAATGAAGTTGAAAAATTCCTCTCACCTAGTGATGGGTTAATGTCATAGCCCATCACATTAGCTGGTGCAAACAAATCTGTGCTGCAATTACATAAAAAGTATACCACTACAGACTGCTTTATCTATGGAGGAGACATTCTTTTGTTCCTTTACTTTCTTTTTTTTTTTCTTTTTTGAGATGGAGTTTCACTCTTGTTGCCCAGGCTGGAGTGCAATGGCGTGATCTCGGCTCTCCACAACCTCCGTCCCCTGGGATCAAGTGATTCTCCTGCCTCAGCCAGTCAAGTAGCTGGGATTACAGTCATGCACCAGCACGCCTGGCTAATTTTGTATTTTTTTTTAGTAGAGACAGGGTTCCTCCAATGTCGGTCAGGCTAGTCCGGAACTCCCGACCTCAGGTGATCCACCCACCTCGGCCTCCCAAAGTGCTAGGATTACAGGCGTGAGCCACCGCGCCTGGCCATTGTTCCTTTACTTTCTTAACAACCTTGCCTTCACTTAAAAAAGCATATCACTACAATTATGTACAGTATATACTACTTGATACTAAACAGCTAGGTTACTGGTTTTTGTATTTACTATACTTTCATCATTAATTTAGAGTGTATTCCTACTTATTTTTTTAAGAAGAAAGTTACTATGAAACAGCCTCAGGCAAGTCCTTCAGGAAGCATTCCAGGAGAAGGCACTGTTATCATAGGAGATGAAAGGTCCATGCATATTACTGTCCCTGAAGAGCTTTCCGTGAGACAAGCTGTGGGGATGGGAGACAGTGATACTGATGATCCTGACCGTGTCGGTCTAGGCTAATGTATGTGTTTGAATCTTAGTTTTTAACAAAAAGTTTAAAGTCTTTTTTAAAAAAGCTTACAGACTAAGGATATAAAGAAAATATTTTTGTAGAGCTGTACAATGCATTCGTGTTTTAAGCTAAGTGTTACTAGAAGAGTTAGAGTTAAAAAATAAAAAACTTATAAAGTAAAAAAGTTATAATAAATGTACTGCTGCAAAAAGAAATTTTAAAAATAAAATCTGTAAGCATACAGTGTTTATAATGTCTACGGGTTCTAGGCCTTCACATTCACTCACCACCCACTCACTGACTCACCCAGAGCACCTCTCAGTCCTGCAAGTCCCGTTTATGGCAAGTACCTTATACAGGCATACCATTTTTTAATGTTCTATATATTTTCACCATATCTTTTCTAGGTTTAGATACACAAATACTTACTGTTGTGTTATAACTGCCTACAGTATTCAGTACAGTAACATGCCTTACATGTTTGTGGCCTAGGAGCAATAGGCTTTACCACATAGCCTAGGTGTACAGGAGGCTATGCCATCTAGGTTGTGTAAGTACACTCTATGTGTGCACAACCAAATTGCCTAACATTTCTCAGAAGGTATCCTCATCATCAAGTGACGCATGACTGTACTTCCCAAAGGCAGTAAGAACACCTGTCCTCAGTACAGTATGGTGCATTGCTCTGCCTCAAGAGGCTGACTTCACCTTCTGTGCTGCAGTCCCATTACCTGTTCAATGAGGGTGCTAATAAAAAATATTCTTCTAGTTATTGTGAGGATTAAATGACATAGTGCATGCAAAGGGCTTATCATGGCATCTAGCACCTATTTACTTTCACATAAAAATCAAGGCTGGGCGTGGTGGCTCATGCCTGTAATCCCAGCACTTTGGGAGGCCAAGGTGGGTGGATCACCTGAAGTCAGGAGTCTGAGACCAGCCTGACCAACATGGTGAAACCGTCTCTACTAAAAATACAAAATTAGCCAGGCATGGTGGTGCATGCCTGTAATCCCAGCTACCCAGGAGGCTGAGGCAGAGAATTGCTTGAACCCGAGAGGCGGAAGTTGCAGTGAGCCGAGATCACGCCACTGCACTCCAGTCCAGGTGACAGAGCGAGAGTTATTGTAACTGTTATTCTCAAAAAAAAAAAAAAAAAAATCAAGTTATTATCTGATAGGATCAGTGGCAGTTAGAATTTCTCTACTCCAGGTGCAATTTTCCCCTAGCTAAATTGACCTTAATAGAAGAAATAAGACTAAGTTTGATTAAAACAAGGAACAAGGATTTTTTCCCCCCCCCACAAAAGTGCAATTACGCTCTTTTTAAAAAAAAAACAAACTCTGGGACACATCTAGAACAGTAACTTAACAACCATACCACATTCATCATTCATTCTACACCTATACTAAATGCAAGGCAGGTGTGCTAGGTGAAGGGGAAACCAAGGTGAATTAAGACAGGGTCCCACCCTGATCCTAGGAATCTACTGAGACTAATGGTAAAGGACAGACATAAAGATCATTATAATAATTGCCAAGATTCACTAAGTACTTAGGGCACACAAGGGGGTAAGTGGAGAAGGGGTGAAGCTCATGACAAGGAGTTAGTCAGGTAGGAAAGAAAAGGACAGACCAGAGGGAGGAGACAGCACAAGCCAAGGCAGGGGTTGCCCAAGGCACAGAGTCAAAATTTGGCTGAGAATATGCAATCTGGGGTTGCTGCGCCCTCCCATGTTTAGAGAGCACTGCCATATGCCTGTTTTAAGTGACCCTTCAGCCTTTATTGGACATTCCATGTTTGCTCAATGAATAAGCAACCTTGGGTGATTGATGTGACGGGTCTTAAGGCTCAAGGAAGGGGAGTGACTGGCCTAAAAGCAGAAGCCAGTGAGCCAGGACTGGAAGCCAGGTCCAGCGCCTCTGTTGCCACACTGCACCCCTCCCCCATCGCCTTTCCTTCTCCACTGGGGCTAAGTGAAAATGCTCACTTATCTGCAAAGGGCCCCGAAGTGATACCTCTTCAACAGGCTCTCCTAGGTCAGTGGTCATGTGCTAAGCACCAGATCTATACCCACCATAAGACAGAGCATCCTCTAATGGGTAGTGCTTAAGGTCAAGAGCTGAGAAGCCAGACCACTTCATTTTAAATCCTAGCTCAGCCACATACTCACTGAAACTTCATGAACAACCTGTGTTTCAGTTTTCTCATCTATAAAATGGGGATGATAACAGCACTCAGGATTAAATGAACTGATACTTAAAAACTACCCAGAATAGTTCCTGGCATATACCTAGCGCAAAACAAGTATTCATTAAATAAAACCAAACCTGGAATTTCTTCCAAATTATTCTCTCAGGTACCTTGGTGTTTATCTGTTAAAACATTTGTGGTTTCTAACTGACTAAAATCAACCAAGACTAGAATAGGCTTGCAAATGCAGGGTCTCGCGCTACTGCAAGTTCACGAAGAGCCCTACAAGCGGTCTCATAATTTGGTGACTCCATCAAGCCTATGGATGTAATGATCATAGCTAAATTCAATCTCTATTTATTGAGCATCTCAGAGTGTAAAGGAGAACGTAGGGTTTTAGAAAGGTGGGTGGCCGATAAGATTCAGAAGTCTCACTGATTTATTTTTGTTTACTTTAGGATGTGATATACAGTTCCTGATAGCTAGGATTAAGCTCCTAACTTACCTGCTCTTCTGAGATAGAACTTTTTAGATAGGATTACAGTTCTAGAATTATTTGACATATTTATGGAAAAAAGCACTGTGCAATTCAGAGGAAAAGGCCAATGTGAAAAGCTCAGTAGTATCTCGTATTTCCAGCTACGTACCTGACAGTCATCCACATCTACTTCAAGGAATACCACGTTGGAATACTTTTCAGAGAGGGACTGGAAAATTTTAAATGAAAAATCCAAAAAGATTTAGAACTAGGTAATGGCAATCAATGTACTCAAGCTTCTTAAATGGAAACTTAATAAAAGTAGAGACTAATTAAAGATTCAAATATTTAGATCTTTGGAGACATAGATCTAAGAGACATAAATTTTCTCTAAATCAAATTTTTCCTAGTATACAACAGTTTGTCATATCAAACTCTGAGGCTGGGATTTCAAATAAGGCCCATGTTTCAATGTGGGAAAAAAAGAACTATTTAAGACAAAATTAACTTCTAAAATTTATTTTCAATGGGCTACATGTATAAAACCTAAATTATTTGTTATACTACTGCTTCTAGACCAATGATCCAGCCAAAGAAACCCCCCACCAAAACCAAAATCCTTTAACTGTCTTTCTTTTCTACCTTTGTGACCACCAACCCATAAACACAAATCTCTTACAAAGTAGACATTGTTTAATACTCACATGAAAGAAAGGCTTGATCATTTTGCAAGGCCCACACCACGTGGCTGAGAAGTCAACTACTACAAGTTTATCACCTGCGGTGTTCAAGGCTTCCTGAAAAGCAGCCTAACAGCAAAAAAAGCTTATATTAAATAAATAAATATTAAACCTTCAAAAGAAAGACTCGACACAATTACACAAAGTACATTTTGGAGGCCCTCCTTTCAGGACCTACTTTTTAGCCAAAAAAAAAAAAAAAACCCAAACAAGCCAAATAAAACTCCGTTTGAAGAAATTCTATATATTGTTGATAGTGTTACTTGATAAGATGAAACAAGATATAATGTGTAGAGCATACTGATATTCATGTCTTCATGACTATTTTATAAAATACTGTGAACTGGCTAATTTCTCTTTCCACCAAACAAAAGGAAAATAAAAATAGATATTTGTACTAAAAATGTTTCCACGTCAAGGCTAGGTATATGGTAGACATTCACTAAACACTTATGGATTATGAAGGGGTCACCTGAAGTCACAAAGACATAGGATTTTGCAATTGAAACATCACAAGTTACTTAAAAAAAAAAAGTTGGCTGGGCATGGTGGCTTATGCCTGTAATCTTAGCACTTTGGGAGGCTGAGGTGGGCGGATCACTAGGTCAGAAGTTCGAGACCAGCCTGGCCAATATGGTGAAACCCTGTCTCTACTAAAAATACAAAAAAAAACTAGCTGGATGTGGTGGCTCATGCCTGTAGTCCCAGCCACTCAGGAGGCTGAGGCAGGAGAATAACTTGAACCCAGAAGGTGGAGGTTGCAGTGAGTCAAGATTGTGCCACTGCACTCCATCCTGGGCAATAGAGGGAGACTCCATCTCAAAAAAAAAAAAAAAAAAAAAAAGCTATGACTTTTGATTAAACTCATTTGTCTATGGTAGACCATACAAAAATCTAAAATTTTTTGAAAAGTCAAGGAAACTAACCTTCCCCAAATGTCAACACTCAGACATCACTGTTGACATAAGCATAATGGGGTTTCCAGAGTTGAGATCACACGTTTACCAACTTTTGATTTCTGCCCTTTATTTTAAAACTACACCCTCATCATTCATTAAATGAAAATTTTAGTTCCTCATGAAGGAAATTTTTCTTAGATATTGTTTTTCATAAGGAATGCTTGTTAAATAAAATTCTTAGTAGAAATGATGAAGAAATCTCTTACCAGTAACTTCCCTGAATTATTTACTATCTAGATACTGTAACCCTGGGAACCGAATATTCTAGTTACCAAGGACTCATTTTTGTTTTGTTTTGTTTTTGAGACAGAATTTCACTTGTTGCCCAGACTAGAGTGCAAAGGCCTGATCTCAGCTCACTGCAACCTCTGCCCCGGGGGTTCAAGTGATTCTCGTGCCTCAGCCTCCCGAGTAGCTGGGATTACAAGCCTCTGCCACCAGGCCCAGCTAATTTTTGTATTTTTAGTAGAGATGGGGTTTTGCCATGTTGACCAGGCTGGGCTTGAACTCCTGACCTGAAGTGATCCACCCGCCTTGGCCTCCCCAAAACAAAGGACTCATTTTAACCACAATTAGTCTGTTAGTGCTGACCAAACCCAAAAACCAAACCAGAGCAATTAAGATAAATCAAAACATAAACATCTATTATCTGAAGTCTAGGTTTTCTTCAAGGAAACAACACTGGTCAAATAGGTTTAATAAAAAATGAACATTTCCCGCCCCTCGCCATCACAAGAGGTCCTGTAAAGAAAGAAATCAAATAAAACACCATAAGATAAAAAACCAAATAAACAAGAAAACACTAATGTGACCTCAGGTAGTAATAGTTACTTCTCTAGATTTCTAATTTCTACCTCATGTTTTTGGGAAATTCACAATTGGTGTTCCTGAGAAAGGTAGGACAACACTTCCATAAATTTTTCAGTTATGCAAATCCCTCACCCCCACCCCTAGAGATGGAGACATGGGGAGGGCTGCAGCAGGGTACATTAGAAGTGTAGCAATTGTTTTTCCAAATCATCACTGATTGTTCCAGATCAATTTCATTCAAAGCCTTCCCTAATGTGATTTTCAAGAAAGTTAAACCAAGCATCCTTTACTGCAAGATCCAGGTGAGACAGGAAAAAAGGTCAAGAAATGCCAACGTCTGGAATAGACATTTTTGTTTTTTTAACATGATTGACCCTCACTGAAAACTTCAGATTACTTTCAAGAGGGAAGGTATTTCAAACATACTCAAGGCTTTTCCAAAACAGTTCTGAATCAAATTTAAACACAAGTACCTAAAATTCTGAAAAGAGGCATGCAACAATAACTTTTAGCCTAAATGAACATGAGTTACACCCCAGGTATGTGCAGGCTTCACGTACAAGCTCTCTTCTGATACTTCCAAACGGGTATCAGCTTGAAAATTATTCAAGAGTATATTACTAAGAAGAAATCACAGAAACTAACAGTTTCTAGCTCACAGAAACTAACAGTTACTATTAATAAATGTCTCCATCACTGACACCAATAATCTGGGGGAAGCAAAACAATGTAGTTGGGGTAAATAGGAGCAGAGTCTAAGATCTCTTTGCTTAAACATACCTACTCTGAAGGTAGTAAGTGTGAGTGGTTTCTGAAGTATTTAGCCAAGTGCCTTGTGGATGGGAGTTGAATAAATGGTAGGTGTCATTCTTCTTTTTTTTTTTAAAGTTTATTTCTTCCTCATCACATTTACAATCAATTATTCCATTCCTCTCTGAAATAGATCCCAGTCGGCCCTAACGTACTAACAGACTACCTCAGAAACAGAATTGTTCTCAATGACCAATGATGCCAATTTAGCCCATTAGGATGAAAACGTAAGATGTATTCAACATTTACAAATAACAGGCTGGGCGTGGTGGCTAACACCTGTAATCCTAGCACTTCGGGAAGCCGAGGTTGGTGGATCACCTTAAGTCAGGAGTTCGAGACAAACCTGACCAATATCGTGAAACCCCGTCTCTACTAAAAATACAAAATTACCGGGCGTGGCGGCGCATGCCTGTAATCCCAGCTACTCAAGAGGCTGAGGCAAGAGAATCGCTTGAACTCGGGAGGTGGAGGTTGCAGTGGGCCAAGATCAAGCCACTGCACTCCAGCCAGGGCAACAAAAGCAAAACTCCGTCTCAAAAACCAAACTAACAAATAACAATCAAATTAGTGTAACTTTCGATCAATGACTTTGGATTGTTACTTTGAGGATTGATTATCAGGGCCTGTGGGCCCCAGGCTGTAGTGCTTTTTTTTAAAGTTCCTGTCACCCTTGTACACCTTTGTCACTGGTAGAAGAGGAAGATGCCACCATGCTCTGACAACTGGGAGGACTAAACTGTGCTCCAGAAATCCTAATCAACTTTCTGTTTGTAGTAGCTGGATACTGTGACAACTAACATAGACCACTCAAAGGTCTTCTGGCTCCGTGGAGGGGGTTCTCAGCAGTTCGGTTATACTGAGGTTGCCAGACCCTGGAGAACAGAATCCCAGCCCCACTCCCTTCCCCAGGAATGGACTAAAATTTGTCACACAATAGGTGCTTGGAAAAAAGTATATGAAAGACAATTCACTACTAAGGATCTTTTCAACACATGAGGGCTGCTAAAATGAGAATCCCACTAAGAAAATACTGATTAAGAGGAAGATAAAAGACTACAGTGGCAATCAACATACGAGGAAAAAAATACTGAGAGTCAACAATCAAAGGCACAAAAGGATCGGGGACACATTGCAGACACACTTCTGTTTCCGAAGCCCACCCGGCACCAAACAGGTCAGGGCACTCAAGGCGGGCGAGGATCCGCCCTCCCCTGCTTCCCGCGGGTGGGGAGGGGTAATCGCAGGGTAGGCGCTGGCGAGGGGTCTTCTACCGTTCGGGCAGTATCAATTTCCTCCACTCACTTTTCTGACGCTGCATTTAACAAATATTCCTGGAATGGCTACATTAGACACTGCGTGTTAGGCTCTGGGTTTCCCAGTCTAGAAGGTTTTAGGCTTGCAATAACTTTCAAACATGGGAAGTCTGTTTTGCCTTGGGCATTTTTAAGAGGACAAACATCGATCAGGATACCGATAGGTCGGCGAGCAGGCAGCAGGGCGCGGCTGCACCCAGGAGGAACCCGGGCTCCAGCAAAACCCACCGACTGAGGGTGAATCACGGACGGGCAGGGCAGCCGAGGCCCCCGGGCCCAACCTTGGGGACTGAGTCATTCCAAAGCCACTGCTGCCGGAAACACGCCCTGAGCCACAGGAGTCCCGTGGGCGCGGCCCGGACCTCACTTCCTCGCGGTCACCTGGGGCCCTCTGGCCTCCTGGCCAGACCTGCACGTGCCAGGGGGGTCTCCAGCCGCAATCCGCCTCCTTAGTGCGGATACAGCACGCGTCACCTTTGGGGCCAGGAATGGGTGGAAGCAGCCGGGGGTCTCCGGCCTAGACCAGCTCCCAAGGGAGATCACTACACCCGCTGCGGGTGGATCACTTCGCATACGGAAAGGCAGCGGCGGCCAGTGACCCGTGCCTTCTGCAAGGGGCCCTCTCTATCCTTGCCTAGGGCCTGAATCTGGATACAGAAGGGGGCCAAGGGCGGACCCCTTCTATTCCCCCACCTTCCTCCAGTCGGGGCTGCCCAGACGGGAGGGTGCAGGAAGGGCAGCGTGGGGGCTCCTCACGCTGCCCGCGCTCTCACATCTCCCGGGCGCTCCCCGCGTGCGTGCAACCCCCCGGGGCACAGGGGGCGGGCAACGCTGGATACCGCCACTCCGCCCTCCAGGGGACCCTCGTCCCTCTCTTCCCTTCCACCAGGACAGGCTCCACCGCCTTGGGCGCGCCCAGGCCGCTGCTTCCCTCAGTCCCAGGCCGAGACGCCGCGTCCCTTTTCCCCGGCGATGCAGAGGGGCGGCCTCCGCATCTCCCGCCACCGCCTTCCCCAGCTACAGAGGCCGCCCGCGGCGCCGGCGCCCCGGCATTCCCCGGGAGCGCGTACCTTGCTCTCGATCTGCTTCACCATCTTTGCTGCTGGGGTCTGAGGAGCGGCTGTAATGCCCGATGGAAACGGATCCAAAGCACTAGACCGAGCTTGAAGAGTCGCCGCTTGCTCTCCCTTTATAAACGGGCACGCCCGGCGTGCGTGTGGCGGGGGCGCGCGCGCCCGCCCGGACCTCCGCGCCCGCCGCTGCGCCCCGGCCACGCCCCGCCCCTGGAGCCTGCGAGCCGGGATCGGGGCGGGGCCGGCGCAAGCGTGGGGCGGAGCTCCAGGGCCTCGGCTCCTGCGCCTCCAACCCTAGCTCGCGCCCCAGCTGGAAGTGGGGATCAGCGCTGCGCGTGACGGTGGGAGGCAGGGAGACGGACAGTCACCCCCAGAGACACAAGGTCCTTCCCAGGTCACCTGGGGATGCGTCCGCCGCGCCTGAATCGAACGCGCCCACGCTCGAGATGGGGACAGTCCTGGGACCGCCCAGGCAGGGCTGGATTCCTCGAAAAGTCCCGCCACGCCCCGGCCACCCCCAGCCCCGTGAACCTCACAAAGTGCTGAGTAACGGTGACCAGGAAGTTTCTCGGTGTGTACGTCCTTGCCTCCTCTCCAGAATTTACCGTGACCGTTCTTTTCTCTAACCTCCTTCTGTTCTTTCATTTTCACTGCTGAACCCGCTGCTCCAGCTTGACATAGCGGTTTAGTGAGGTAGAAACGACCGGGGAACTGGTTGGGCTCTTGACCATCAGACAGCTGCGTGTGAGATGGAAGTGCCGCCGGATTGAGCTCTGCAGCTTAGTTACGCAGTTGTGACCCTAGAAAGGTCCTGACCTCCTGGAGTCTCAGTGTTCCCTTCTGTAGAACGCGAATCATGATGGTCTCAGTCTCACGGTGGTGTTATTTTGAGGGTTAATAGTGCTTGCAAAGTGATCAGGACCGTGCTTGGCACATAGTAAACACTCCATAGATAGTTCTTATTCGGTGTCTTGCGGGGACTGATTGGGCCTGGCCATCTTATACAGCACTTACAGTGGGACAGCACGCAAATTTGTGTGAGTTTTTTTCTAACGGAGGCAGACTCCTGGAACAGAAGTCGGAGTTTGCATTGATCCAGGAATGCCTGTTGCAGGTTATGTCTGGCAGGGCTGGGGATTGTGGAAGGTGGGTATGTTAGCTGACCTTGTGGCACCAGGAAGGCCTGTCAGCGGCTGAAAGTGGAGGTTGAAAAGCTGCTCACAGGAACGAGAGCCGGAAGGCTGGGAGGGAGAGTCCCAGGTATGTATTTTTAGAGCTGAGCTGTTCCCAATGAAGCTGCAACTAGGTGTGATTGCCTAGGGGTGGTGAAATTGCTGCCTGGCTACCCCCTAGAACCCCTGGCTTTCTTCTTTTGCTCTTTCAGACAGAAGAAGGGAGGAAACCAGAGGTTTTGAACCTATTGTGCAAAGTTTCTAGGGGGCTGAGGAGCACGGAGCATGAATATGGATATAGGCAAGGGACACATTCTAAAGACAGCCCTAGAGGGAGGGAAGACAGACTGCCCTCAATGCAGCAACGTTCCCAAAGAGAGGGAGGTTATTGGGGCAGAGAGGAAGGAGCTGTATGGAGCACCCATAGCAGAATCTATAACCTGCTTTTCTGCTGCTGGGTTTTCAGTTCAGCTGCATCCTAGCTTCCTGGCCTTTATCTGTTTGTTGGTGAATTTGCATAGGTGATGACAACAAATCATTGAGTTACAGGAAGGGGCAATGCAGGCCATCCTCAATGTTCAGTGACTCAGTGAAGGAGGTACTCCCTCTCCCTAACCTCCACAGAACCAACGCAGAGTAGATGTGGAGGATGGTACAGTTATAAGGAACTGGGAGGCCAGAGTATATGTTAAGAGTCTGGACTCTGCAATTTGACTCCCTTGTCCTCATCCCTTCATGACTGGGTAACTCTAGGCAAGTCTAAATAGCCTTTTTGTGCCTCCGTTTCCTTATCTGAGAAGTGGGCATAATAATAGCTTGTGCTATTGTAAGGGTTGAGTGAACTAAAATATATGTAAAATGCTTAGAACTGTGCCTGGTGTGTAGTGAATGCTACATGAACTATGATTATAGGCTATTAAATGAATGATGAGATCCATCTGGAATGATGGCAGAGCTAGGATGGAGAGACAATAACAGGTGTCAGTCTTAAACGAATTAAGTAATGAAGACAGTAGTAATGAACAGTGGGCTCTGTAACATGAGCCTCAAAGGAAAAGGGCTTTTTTTCCCTGCAAGGAAGAGAGAGAAGTGGGCTGGATCTGGTCCCAAGGAGCAGGTTCCCTGCAGTTGTGGCAAGGAGGTGACGTTCTTTGAGAAGAGTGAGGTACAGGGGAATTATTTGGGACTGCCCAGAGAGGAAGGGTTCATTTGTGCAGAGAGATGTAGAGGCTCTGTGTATTAGTTAGAATTTTCAGTTGCAAGGAGAAATTCTAGCTTAAACTGACGTAAAGCAAAAAGAGAATTAGTAACTCATTACCAAGAACCCCAGGGGCCTAACAATGTCACAGGGCACCATCTCTCTAGTTTCATTCTCAAGTAGGCACTCTATATAAGAGTGAAGTAGGCAGCTCCAGACTTAGGTTCCTAGTAGTTTAGTGTCTCTGCAGGAAGAGTGTTCCTCTTTCTTGTTCTTGTAAATGTCTGAGAGGCTGACCTTCACTTTCATGGTGGGGAAATAGCCTTCATTGAAACTTTGGACTAAGAGTAGGGAAAATCCAGGTGGTTACCAGAAAAATAAGAGATTGCTGCTGGACCAGCAAAAATGATGTTTTCATGTCACCCAAAAGGGCAGAAACATGTAACAAGGGTGATGGACTGACTTCAGGCCTGGGTCAGCTGAGTCCAGCCTCCACATGGCACTGGAGAACTAGGTCAGCTGTCTTTGTTTGGGTCTCAACTCAAATTTGAAGAAAATGCAGTTGTAGGATTTCTGAAACAAGTTTTTCTCACATCCCAGGTGTCTCTGAGTGGTCTTAACCACCTAATTCATCATAGCCAGAGGTGCTCAATGATACTGCACATTCCTGGACCACACCCAGACAGACATACAGAATCAGGTTTTTAAGGTAGGGCCTTGTAATCTGCATTTTTATTTATTTATTTATTTATTTTCTTTTTCTTTTTTTTATGTTCTAGGGTACATGTGCACAACGTGCAGGTTTGTTACATGTGTATACATGTGCCATGCTGGTGTGCTGCACCCATTAATACTCGTCATTTATATTAGGTATATCTCCTAATGCTATCCCTCCCACCTCCCCCCACCCCACAACAGGCCCTGGTGTGTGATGTTCCCCTTCCTGTGTCCAAGTGATCTCATTGTTCAATTCCCACCTATGAGTGAGAACATGCGGTGTTTGGTTTTCTGTTCTTGTGATAGTTTGCTGAAAATGATGGTTTCCAACTGCATCCATGTCCCTACAAAGGACACGAACTCATCCTTTTTTATGACTGCATAGTCTTCCATGGTGTATATGTGCCGCATTTTCTTAATCCAGTCTGTCATTGATGGACATATGGGTTGGTTCCAAGTCTTTGCTATTGTGAATAGTGCCACAATAAACATATGTGTGCATGTGTCTTTATAGCAGCATAGTAATCTGCATTTTTAAAAGCATCTCAGGTGATTGGGTACACTAAGATTTGATGAGCTTTGCCATGGGATCTTCAGAGGGAGGCCAGCATTAGTTAAGCTTCAAGACTGTGTCTAGCAAGAGAGTTGAGATGGGGACTCAAAATTTTGAGAATGTGTTAAGTGACATAAAATCAGGAGCTGTAAGTACTACAGTAAAAAAAAAAAAAAAAGTAGAAGGAAAAGGAACAAATTAACCTGGGTGGGACAATCATTAAATGCCAAGCCTAGAGCTGGGTGTGTCATATCATTCCTCTCAATATCCCTTAGGAGATAGACATTATTTTTCCTATTTTACAGAGAAGGAAATTGAGATTCAAAGAGGTCACCTAGTCATATCCAATGTTCACTAATTCTTATACTCTGTCCATGAAGGGCGGAAGTATCAGCACAGTTTTCAAGCCCATCTGCATGTATTAAGTACTCCTCATTTCCCCGGTGAAAAATATCTAACATCCCTTATGCTAATGTGCTGTATATTACATCAAATGTTAACTATTTAGATTGTAAAAATTAATTTACACACAAATATATATCACACTTTCATTGCCAAGTATTTTAATGTAAATTTCAGATAATATAATAACCCCTGTGAATAACCTACCCTGCTCCTTATAGCCCTTAATCTGCTCCAGTGGTCACCCTCACTGACCCCTTGAGCTCTTTCTCCATGTAGCATGGAACCATCTGGATTCAGCAAGCACCACTGTATTCCCAGATATTTATTTTAACCACAAGTTTTGCCCCCTCAGTGTATATCATTGTATGACATACAATGTTCCATGTATGTCACGGCCAGGCAGTGAGGCAAGTGCTTCCCATTGCTGCGTCCAGATTCTTTCTCCTTCCAAAATCCCATGGATTTTTAGAAAGAAAAGAAAAAAATTTGTTTTCGAAAGAAAAAGGAACTTGACCTTTACACCATACCATAAAATTACTTAAAATTTACCAAGGAACTACTGGAAGAAGACATTAGAGATAATCTTTGCAACCTTGCGGTAGGCAAATATTTCTTAGGCAGAACACAGAAATCACTAGCTATAAATGAAAAAGTTAATAAATTTGGCTTCTCACAACACACACACACACACACACAAATATGCGAGGTGATGCATATGTTAATTAGCTTGATTTAGTGATTCCACATTGTATACATATATCAAAATATGTCGTACACCATCACTATGTACACGTTTCACTTGTCAATTAAAAAATAATTTTAAAAAATGGGGGAAGCTAGCAGTCTTGCATCCCCTGTGAAGGGATATATGCTCTAGTAGGTGGATTTTACTTTATATTAAGTATTGTTACAAGTAGTTAGATAGGCATGAGTGAGGCAGGAGAGGGCTCTCCACCCACCCACTAGGAATGTCAGGTGATGGTTGGACAATTATCTCACCGCCTCTCTAAAAATGATAATGTGGTAGCCTACCCAGAGCACCAGGGAGGTGATCCACAGCTGTTAACATTAAAGTGTTAAATGAATCCAGATGCCAGGGAGAAGAAACTGCCTGGGCATGTACACTAAGAGACAAAATGGCAAAATATGACATTCCAGGCAGACTCCTCTGGAA